ACAGACAACCTCTCGTCAATATGCGTTTTTTGCATTGCATTACTGCAAAAAACGCATAAAAAGAGAAGGAGGACATATTTTGCCTTGAAAGGCAGATACACATTAGATGTGCTGCCAGGCTGAACATGGAGCACAAGGACCGGTGGTGTAGTGGTAACGCATTCTGTCCGGAAATGAGGGGGAGTGGTTCGATTCCCTTCCGGTCCAGAACAATTTTCGTGAAAAGGCTTCGTTCACGATGCAGTGCTGATCCTGATGATCGTTCCTTTCTTTTTTTTTTCTCATCTAGGTTCAGCGGTTCTCTTATCAAAAACACTTAGTGAAGGGGGCTTTAGCCGTTTCAAAATGTCATTGGTGTATGTGTGTGCTAAGCAGCATTACCTCGTCTCGAACTTTATCATGATGAGATTTCTTGGATGTTAGCAGCAGAAAATAAAAATTTGAGTCTTTCTTTCTTTTCTAACTTTTGTTTTTGTTGATAAACGATCAAATCTTTTGTTGTCGCTTCGATGCTATTGTTTATCCATTCTTGTCTTCTTGCAGCAAGCTTCTGGACTACCATTCGATGTTCTGAAAAAGACGATGTCTCCTGACGATGACCCATGCTATTTGGATGAATTTATGACGGGTAGTCGTTCGACCACCGATGGCACAACTACAACGTTAACTGAAGGAGATGAGGAACAGTCGAAGAACTTGGTTGGGCTTTATTTACCAGCAGAAGCTTAGAAATCACTTCCGTGAGGTTCTGTAGGGCTTTAGCCGGCTCAGAATGAATCGTTTGTTCTTTTATTCGTGAAAAATGCCTTTTTTGGAATCATTTGAATTGAACTGCCTATGACTTGATATAATTCTGTTAACTGAGTTTGACAGAGGACTCCATGGTCGTCAGGATCGCCAGCAGGCTAACCAGCATTGGACAGAACATTGGGGGAAATTGCCAATGTTACAGGACTACACCGTGAATTACATTTGATTCAAGCATATCAGCTGTAATTAAAACATGATTATATCGTTTATTTTTAAAAGTAAAAGTTATTACAGAGAAGCTTTACTTCCCTCTCAGTGTGTAGTGATCCTGAAAAGAACGCAGACAGTGATGAGAAGAGCAGCACTTCTCACAAAGTATGACTATTTCTTTTTCTATTTTTTTTACCAACTTTTTATAGCCAATAACAGTCAATACTCTTTTTTTGGTTTCAGGTAATGTTAGCATCAAACTTTGCCACATACAAAGCAAATTCTTCATCATCAAACCAAGCAGCAGCAGCAGCAGCAGATCGCATTCCAGCGACGTCAATTCTTAATGAAAGTGGTGATGCGTTGCAAATTAGTGAAACAACGAGCAGAAACAATGAGGATTTACAAGGTAATAAGGAAAATTACTATGAATTTTTCTCCCGAGTTGCGTATTTCTCTTTACATGACTTTTTAACATGTCACATGGTTTTCGCCACATTAACAGCTCTACTATCTTTCCCATAATAATCTGTTCACTAGTTCCACTCTACATTAAAATTCATGAATTACGGCCGTTCCATGTTTTCCACAGTTCGAACTGCCCGTTTACTTTGGAAATTACTGTTCGATCTGCCAAGGGCCGCAAATTATTTATCATTTTAACCCACTCTGGCTGCTTCACAAGAACCGTAACTTATATGATTCGGTCTTCTAGTGAGTGTTACTTATCGTTACATCTGGAAATAACCTGTTCAGTAAGATGTCCGGGGAAACTTTTTGTTTGTATTTTGTAAACTCTCGGTCATTTCGCTTTCTTTGAAACAGAGGAATGTTGGATCGCATTTTATCTGTACGTAAGTACTGCTAGACGAAGCACACTTCTGGAAAGTTGACCAGCGTATGATGCAGCATTGGTCAGAGCAACGGGTAGATTTACCAATTGTACATTTCAAAAAAGGCAGCATGAACTGCAGCTGATTTTGCTGTTTCAAATATGAGTGTTTTTGGCAAAATATTGTCAGTTAGGTCGCTTCTGATTGCTTTTGTTTCTCATAACAAGCGAAATGTGATCTGATTTGGATGTAATGAAGAAGATAATGCTGTAACCAATATTATAATCATGATCCATTGCCCATGATTTTGAGCTGACAGTAGTCGAATTTTTAGCAATGGTATCATCAGGTGTCGATTCCGGCATAGCGGGTACTGTTTCGGTGCACAGCGATATGAGTACAGCTGCTTCTTCGCAAACTAAAGAAACATCAGTTGGACCCCCTCCAGAGGGTAGCAGCGCAGCATATTTCGATCGTAGACGTGTGGGTGAAGATTGCGGAGAAGATCAACAAACGGTAATTGCATATGAAGGGGATTCGGATGATTACGAAGCGCTCTGTGATTTGGCCGGTGATAGTGCAACGGTGAATTTATCGGATGAGGAATATGTGGCCAAATTTGTCCTCGCTGAACAGATCTGCAGGTTTTTTTCTTTTTTAAGATATCGTTTCAGTAGTTCTGAGCGAGGTTTTGAAGTACTTTACATTTTCCGTTCTATTCTTGGCAATAATAGTGAGGTAAGAAAGGTTAAAAAGGTATCAGCAATAATTAAATGAGATGAAGATACGATGGATTAAATGAGTTCTAAGATGATCACGAAGCTAAGAATTAGTGAAATGAGTTTAGCTGAGATGTAGAAGGAAGGGAGTAAAATAAGGTTGGAAAAGGAAATTGAAGGAATATTCGTGGATAAAGTGAAATTTAGAAAAGTTAAGATGAAATATTAACTATGAATTAGTTAGAATCTTGAAAATTTTGGGGCTTGACGGGGTGTGATGAGAGATAAAAGTGCGGTCCTTCCTGCAATCCCAAGTGCAGCTTAAGCAGACTTCAAGTTCTCGGCCTAAGCCTGGAATTATGCGAAAGAACATGGATCAGAACATGGATACTAATTTCGCCTCAAATTTGTGCTGAAATGATGAGTGTTGAAACGATTAGAAGGCCGAATCATAAGTGGACGGTCCAACTGGGTGCTATTTCGTCCTTCGGAAGTGCATGAAATGAATATTCCAAGGCCGTCCGAGTGAATGTTTTCTGCCCAGCATATTCCACTCATCGATACGCAAGATGGGTTGGCTTTCTCCAAACTGAACAATGTCTCATCTCTAAAATTGCAAATTTGGTTGTTTTTGCAGCACACCAATGCCCTCGAACCCTGTGATGCATAAGCTAACGTTGTTGCCGAAACGTCGTCTCTTTGTTGGATCGTATCTTTTTCAAGCAAAGCGAAACAGTTGCCGCGATCGGGCGATGTGTGCGATTTCATTGCTTGGCAATTTTGCAGAGTACGCTTTTCAGAATATTTCAAAATATTTTTCCCGAAACACGATGAAATAACTTTGCGCGGTTTCTAGAGGGATCCCTTTAGGTACTTTGATCGGTTGTAATCCATTCAAAAAGTTGTAGATTGTAAAATTATGATAAATGTTACAGCTGGGAATGGTACACCGACAGGCAACGCATTATCGAAGAAATGTTTGTAGATATCATTCCACGTGTAATAATCTCATATCTTATGGTAGGTTTTCATTAAATTGAGAAGAAATTAGTAACTGTGCAGTCGGAGAATGTCTCCACATCCTCACTTCTACTTGCCATCTTCGTTCTGAGGCCTTTGAAAAAGACGAATTTCTTTTGCAAAAAAAAAGAGTGAATTTCAGGAATGCATCGAGGATTTTGTTTGTCGTGCAACTGGTGAAATTTCAAGAATGCTGTCAGTTTTGGGTGTTTGTGAAGTGTACCCGTTATTGCTGAAAAGTACTGGCCACGATATTCGGGTGCGTTTTTTTGTTCCATTTTGTAGTTCAGAAATGAGGAAGCTGATGTAAAACTGGAGAACAGAGGCCAGGGATTGCAACTCATTCCGTTACTTCAAGAATAGAACAACTAGCGAATGACACTGGACGTGCATTCGAATTTAACTGCATAAAATTTGCTTGGCATTTTGAAAGCTTAGCATATTTTTGGCTAATTTTTTAAAAATTTTCTTCTTTTTACAGATTCGACAAACCTTTTTTGGTGATGGGCAGTTACAGGAAAACGCGTTTCTGGCAAAGGCAATAACGGCGGTACTCGTGTCGCAGGCTCACTGTATCATTGTCGGCGACGAAAAAGCTGCTGTTGCTAAAGTACATTCTGCTTGTACAGTTTTTATTTTTTTTTAAATTTAATCAGAAGCGGGAAAAACAAAAATTTTCTTACATTTTAATCTTCACATCAACAGAAATATTCAGAGGTAGTATGACTGGTAAATCATTCGCTTGCTGACTAGTAGCTGAAAAAATTTCGGCGAGAATTTGATTTCGTGACACGCGCTTGTGTTAGTTTGCTAGCAAAACGAAGTAAAGTAAGAAAGGCAAACGAAAAACCCGTCATCAGTAAGGGACTTGTCCATTTATGAAGCTGATGCTTAGGTGAAGTTGAAAGCGGATGTGGTGACGTTTTTGTTCACTGATGGATTGGTTTCGGATGGACTTAAGCCTGGAGGTGGCCTAACCTGCCATTTCACCAAGCCTGCCAGCTTAAATCGTCTGTTTTTGTAGTTGCTGTTGACGCTTTGGATGTTCGTAGCACCAGAATGGAGATGGTTGTGTATCAGGCCGTATCAGCATCCATATTCACCGTACCTTCGTTTGCAGGCCATTCAAAGGGTAAAAAAAATTTTTTATAAATTTTTGATTTTTTATAAAAAATATTCAGAAGCCTCGTGCCCTGGGCAGTAGTTTGGTTTTTTGCAGTTGCATAGTTCTAAAATTCTATTGCTGAATGCTAAGTAAGTGAATGGACGATGATGACATAAATCTATGAGGCCTGAGTAAATACTTGCGAAAAAAAAAAAGAGCATTTCCTCAGAAAACTTGCTAATTTAAGATCGAGCTTGCGAATGTGATGTAC